CCGACCGCCTCCACCACCTCCCATGGTCCTCCCTCGGTACTACCACCACCCCCACCTCCTCCCGATGGTACTCCCGTCACCGGCGCCTGGAGAGCCAATTACGTGTCTGCACAGCAGGGATCCTATATTCCGCCTACTACAATGCCTTCCATTCGACCTAAGAAGAAGCTTAAAGCTCTCCACTGGGAGAAGATTGATACTCCTCAAGTGACGGTGTGGGCTACTCACGCTCCCACATATGAAGCTAAGGAGCAGAAGTACACAGAATTGGCTAAGAAAGGTGTCCTCGACGAGGTTGAGCGTCTGTTCATGGCCAAAGAAACCAAGATCCTGGGCCGTGGACCATCCGCCCAGCAGCGAAAAGACAAGAAGCAGATCATTTCCAACGAACTGTCCAAGAATTTCCAGATCGCCATGGCCAAGTTCTCTCAGTTGTCTGTGGATGAGGTGGTGCGGATGATCATCCACTGCGATCCAGAAATCTTGGACAACAGCGTCATCATGGACTTCTTGCAACGAGACGAGTTGTGCAATATCCCAGAAAACACCGCCAAGCTGATGGCACCGTACAGCAAGGATTGGACGGTCCCGAACGCTGCTTCGGCGGAAAGAGAGCAGGATCCTAGCGAGCTCACTCGGGAGGATCAGATCTACCTGTACACTGCGTTCGAACTCAACCATTATTGGAAGTCGAGGATGCGCGCGCTGGCCTTGACGCGGTCCTACGAATCTGATTATGATCACATCTCGTCGAAGATTCGAGAAGTTGTCAAAGTCTGCGATTCTCTTCGCGATTCCGTATCCTTGATGAATGTCCTTGGACTGATTCTCGACATCGGCAATTTCATGAACGATGCCAATAAACAGGCCCAGGGTTTCAAACTCAGCTCTCTGGCTCGTCTGGGCATGGTAAAGGATGACAAGAATGAGACGACATTTGCTGACCTGGTGGAACGTATCGTTCGCAATCAATATCCCGAATGGGAGGGCTTCGTTGAGGAAATTGGTGGCGTGCTTAACGTTCACAAACTGAGCGTTGACCAGCTTCGGCAAGATGCCACGAAGTTCATCGAAACGATCAGGAATGTGCAAATGAGTCTAGATTCGGGCAACCTGAGCGATCCCAAGAAGTTCCACCCTCAGGATAGGGTCAGTCAGATAGTCCAGCGGAGCATGAAGGATGCCAGACGCAAAGCGGAACAGATGCAGATTTACCTCGACGACTTGACCAAGACCTACGATGACATTATGACGTTCTACGGCGAAGACAACACGGACGAAAACGCTCGACGAGACTTCTTCGGAAAACTGGCTGGGTTCTTGCAGGAGTGGAAGGTCAGTATCCATTCCCTTTCGATATTTATTTGCTGTTGTTTTATTAGTGCAGAGAAGCTGACCCAAAATGTTTATAGAAATCCAAAGAAAAGAATATCGCCTTGGAAGAACAGAGGAGACGTACGGAGGCCTCTTTGGCACGCAAGCGTATCAACCCTGCTCTCGCCAATGGCGCTGGCACAGATAGCCCAGCTTCTCCGTCGACAAGCGGAGCCATGGATTCCCTGTTGGAGAAGTTGCGGGCAGCCGCTCCGCAGGCCAGAGATCAGCGGGATCGCCGTCGTCGTGCCAGACTCAAGGAACGGCATCAAATCCGTGTTGCGTCTGGACAGAAGATGCCCACTATTCTCGGCATGGGTGGTTCGCCGGACGAGGGAGGAGAAGGCGAAGCATCCTCCTCGAATAATGATAGCGGGCATCTAAACCCGCAGAAGCAGGAGGATGGAAACGCGAGCGGCCAGGAGACGCAGGTGTCGGAGAGTGAGGATGTCGCGGATCGGGCGGCCAATTTGTTGCAAGGTTTGAGGAGCAACATGGACACGGATGCGGAGCGCGCACGGAGGAGGAGAGAGAGTGCAGAGGACGAGAGACGGGCGCGCAGAATGAGGCGACGGAATGCTGCTGCAAACGGCAGTAAGGACAGCGCGGACGGATCACTTCCCTCCTCGAAGGCGCCTATGTCACCAACCAGGACCGATGCGGCGGAGACGGAAGAGGCTGCAGCGTCGAGTCCACCGCCTGAGCACGACTCGCCTCGATCTCAACCAACACCTGCGATCGTCGTGTCGCCCACCCCGGATCAGCAACCTGAGGGCGAAGCTGGAGATGGCTCATCACCTGACAAGCCAGTTGAAGTTGCTGAATGATCAACATGGCTTTGTTCTAATTAATTTGTCCGATTTTTGCCAGGCGTATCTACTTTCGATTCGAAAAGGGCCCCATATTTTGGTTTTTTCTCCTGTATATCAGCTGTTGCAGTTTTCCAGCCTTATCTCGATGGCATCTGGGCCCTTGAACGGGTTCCATGATGTCTGTTCCTGCTCTACGCATTTCCTTTCCTTTTCTTTATTTTTTTGGGGCCAGGGGATGGGTCGCATTCTGGCATTCAGCATGATATCCACTGACTTTCCCTGTCTCATTCTGTCATTGATTTTTCACAAGGTATTGTATCCCATTATTGTGTGATCTGACTGCATGGCATGTCTAATGTTGGCATGCGATGCTGGTATGTATTCCCATGTCGCTCGTATCAGTGTCTCCTTTTTCTTTTGTTCTATGTCACTTGCACCCCGCATTTCTCCTGTCACGCTGCACGGTATGTTATTGGCCTTTTACAGCACCTTGCTGTACATAATTTCCTAATTTCTGGTTCAGGGAGGCTGCTTGTCGTATTTCAATAGCTTATTTTTTTTTCTTGGAGCAGACCTCTGAATTACTCATGTATGTAGTTATGAGGTCCCCGCTCTTCAATTTATACACACATAGGGCGCCAGCCCTTGGTATGACCTAGAATAAAGCTAACTGTGAAAGAGAGTCCTAAATAGTAGCCAATACAGTACAGACTAGATTTATTCTGGAAGAATAAAGAATGGAAAGACCAATGTCAAGTAGCGTTATCTTTATCATCACGTGACTGAACGTAGATAGTCGATCAGTACGAATGCTCCGAGTCGATCAACTCCGCATTATTTCTTCACCCCTTCTTCGTCTCCAATTGACGGAACCCAGGATTTCTTTGCGCATGCGAAGGTGTCCAGTTTCAATTCGACGCTGGGTTCCACCCCTTGGCCCGGCACGGAGCTTCCTGCACTTCCAGAGAGCAGCTCCGGTGCGGTTCGCATGCCGCAGACCGTGGCTGCTGCCAGGTAAGAATGGCGGGACGCGTTTGTTTGCTACATCGACGACGACGACGACCACGCCGTTGAGCTCGCATGGAGAGTCAACGATCTATGCCCTTTCTACCGCCCCGGGACGGGCTGCTATAGCCGTGGTCCGAATATCTGGGCCGGCATGTGTGCAGGTATGTGTTACACTTGAAATAAATGAGTTAGCTCAACCAGCAATACGTTCGGTCCCTGACAGGTCTGGTCTTGGTTCCTGGCAGATATATCGGGCCTTGTGTCCTCGAGCACCTTTACCTCAACCCCGCGTTGCTGCGCTACGGACCCTGTACGACCCCACGCAGGAGCCATCGCGAAACACGGTCCTCGACGCCGGAGCTCTCGTCCTCTACTTTCCCAGTCCGCGGACAGTCACCGGGGAGAATGTTCTCGAACTGCATGTTCACGGGGGACCGGCGATCGTCAAAGCGGTGCTGGGTGCGATTGCAAAATGCGATACGGCAGATCAGCCAGTCCGCTATGCCGAACCGGGCGAATTCACACGGCGTGCGTTTATGAATGAGCGATTAGATCTACCGCAGATCGAGGCATTGGGAGAGACTCTCGCCGCGGACACGGAACAGCAGCGGCGTCTGGCAGTGCGTGGCACTGGCGATGCGCTCTCGAAGCGTTACGAACAATGGCGTCAGCAACTGCTGTATGCACGGGGAGAGCTGGAGGCGCTGATCGACTTTGCGGAGGACCAGCATTTCGATGAGTCTTCCCAGGAATTCATCGACTCGGTGGGCTCGCAGATGCGTGCGCTACGACGGCAGATAGACCTCCACATCCAGAACGCGTCCAAGGGCGAGCTTCTCCGGAACGGAATCAAAGTCGCTCTGCTGGGCGCACCGAATGCGGGGAAGAGTTCCCTGCTGAACCGGATTGTTGGGAAGGAGGCGGCCATTGTCAGCACGGAGGAGGGCACGACGCGGGATATCGTGGATGTCGGGGTCGACCTGGGAGGATGGTACTGCAAGCTGGGGGACATGGCTGGATTACGGTCAGCGAGCGGTACAGTAACCGTCGGTGCCGTCGAGCAGGAAGGTATTCGACGCGCCAAAGCCCGGGCACTCGAGTCTGACGTGGTTGTGGTGGTGCTGTCGGTGGAACAGACGGCTGACGGCGCCGGGACTCGGCTGGCGGTGGAACCGGAGGTGGTCGAGGCAGTCCGGAGCTGCCAAGAGCGAGGGAAATGCATCGTCGTGGCTATAAACAAATTGGATCAGCTGCCGAAGAACGAGCAGGACGAGGCTGCGCAGGCCCCGCGTCGCCTGGTCGAGCATGTCAGCACCTTGTTCGGCGGCCTACCGGAGGATCGGATCTACGCCATCTCCTGCAAGGACGCACAGGACGAGTCGGCAGCGGCATCGGCGGCAGATCCTGGCCGGATCCAGGCGTTTCTGCGGGGGTTGATCGCTACGTTTGAAGAAATCGCGGCACCGGAGCGAATAGAAGGAGAAAACAACGCAAATGACATTTCATACTGGGAAGACTCGTTGGGAGTCACCCATCGACAACGATCTAATCTACAGAGATGCCTCGAACATCTAGACGACTTTCTATCCGAAACACACACGCACACAGAGCCCAACAAGCTCAACCAGCAACCCGAGACGCCATCTAATGCTGCTCATGAAGAAGAAGAAGAAGAAATCTATCTAAATAATACAAGGGACAATATGGAAACAGACGTAGACATCGTGACTGCGGCGGAGCACCTGCGGTTTGCCGCGGACAGCCTGGCCAAGATCACCGGCACGGCGGAGAGCGACGTGGAGGATGTGTTAGGGGTCGTTTTTGAGAAGTATGCCAACGCGCCATGTGAGAAGGTGATGATGCTGACGAGTTGTGTCGAAACAGGTTCTGTGTTGGCAAGTGAACTCGAGACGTCGACAAGAACGATGGCCCCTTCATTTTGCAATGCACCCGCGTCTCCGCCGGCGGAGGGCGACTACTCATCCTCGTCCTGGATGTCATTGTATCCGCCGCGCCCCTGCATTAGCCGACAGGAGCGAATGGACTGGTGATGGCGAGACGAGGATGGAGGCGTAGGAGGGTTGTTCTCTCCGGGAACGTTGTAACCGCCTCGGCCCATTGCAATGACGAAGTTGAAATGAATGAGAGATAGTGAATGAGAAGGCTGTCTGTAGAAGACTGGACGAAAGGTTTTCCGGTGGATGCTCTTGATGTATGCGATGGAGAATCAGTTGTATCCGCCGCGGCCCATGGAACGAAACGAGTCGAGTGGTCGCACGGAGGTGTGTATATTAGATGAAATGTATATTAAAGAGTATAATTAAGAAGAATATATAGGAAGGTATTAAGTATAGTACAGAACGGAACGGTGTAGAGTGATGCTTGATTGTTTGTGTCTGAGGAAGAGAGGAGAAGAAAGTTCAACTCGACAAGCAGGACAGCAGTATATATAGACGGAACCATTAATAATAACAATTTTTATTTTTTATTTCCCCCCCCCCCCCCCCCCCGAAGATAATATTCTGACGATGACGACTGGTAGGTAGTCATTCGCATGGCATGGCTGGCAGGAAGGCAGGCATCGCCTTCGGGGCGGCTCTGGTTGCCCTGCCCTGCCTGCATGCCCTACCCTGGCTGCTGCTGCTGGCCTTGCTAGCAATGCCAGGCTAGACCAGGCACCAGGCATCCATCTGCATTATCCATCCACCGGCCGGAGTATCTCGTAATTACATGGATGATTTTCTTTCTTTTCGTTTCTTTTCCTTTCCTTTCTTTTCTTTTCTAGGCAGCGCCCCTGCTCAATTTCCCTTTTTGGCCTGTTCCGTTTTGGATGGCTTTTTCCATTTGGGGAAAATGGGTGGGTGGATTATTAGCTAGTTATGGTGCTATACTAGTATTATTCATTATTAATTCATTCTTAGTACTGATTATTACATACTGATTACATACAGTACAGATTGGCGAAGGTCTAGCTGACTGAATGTCTGTCTCCACTGTCGATCGGTGTCTCTCAGGATTGCATTTTTCAGCTGTAATTACATTACATGTATTAGCAGTTCCGTCTTCAGCTAGGATGGCTGGACGGCTGTTAAGCTAGAACAACACGTTTTGTGTCAGATCTGCTGTCAGTTCAGTGCTGATGTGAATGCGAACGCTCATGCATGCATACTGTACACAGGGCCTGCATGGATAAATACTTACCGGCTCCGGCATGGATCCTGCAGTAGCATGCTGTATCACCAACGTCATCAGCCTCACACTCACTCACTCACTCACAGTTAGTCACACATGCATAC